TAATTTAAAAGTATATTTTATAGAGTGCTTATAGTAAAACAACTATTTCATAAAACTTATTCTAATTATTATTATAAAAAAATTTCCTATAATAATCACAAAAAAAACTTATTTACGTATTRTTAGGAKTAGATTTGTAGTTAAATTATTTTTGTTTTCCTTAACTATAGTGATAATTTAAATGAAATATTTTAAATAGTCTTCTTCAGTTTTTAATATATCTAAAACTAATATTATATATGGAAATCAACATGAAACATTATATATACTTATARATCATAGATATATTTTTAGTTTAAAAATATGATTTAGTTAGATTTATTTACATTCGTTAGAAATGTGGTTGGAAAGTTACCATTTTTTAACTATCATCTCAAGCATAAAGCTGAATGATATTATAAGTTATTTGATTATTAAATTTTAAAAATAATACTAATCATAGGTACCTACTCTATTTACAACGTTTATTGACGTATTAGAAATATATTTAATACATTCGTATTATTACTTTTATTATAAATATTAGTTCCTAAATAAATGGATAAACATTTTTGTTGAATAAGTGGAAACTTCTCGATTTAATAATCGTGAAGAATTAAATTACAACTACTTAATGCAATTTTTAAAATAAAATGTTATCGTATTTTAATACWTTAACTGGATGTTATTGCTAAATTGCCTATAAAATTCAAAAAAATACTAATAAAATACGTAAAAATAGTTRTATAGAATATATAACATTGCTTGTATTTAACTTTCTTCTCATTCGCCTTCGCCTTCCTCCCAACTAGTTGGAGTCGGCAACGTTTGTCCTACACCACCACTTTTCTCAAGTTTCCACGTCTTTTATACACATACCAACATCCCTCATATCATTCTCAATAGTATCCAACCATCTTTGTTTTTGGTTTTACTCTTCATCATTTCCCTTAAACGTCCATCTCCATAACTACCCTTATTGCTTTTGTTTCCTCTTGCTTTTTCTATTTTCTTCTTAACCTAACCTTAATAACAACATTAAATCATTAGTATTGAAAATTAAAACTGTACAGCGTGAACCTAATAAATATTATTATATACCTACTTACATGATTTTTAATGATTTTAA